GAGACGAGGGGTAGGGGAGGTAGGGGGCGGGGGCGATCGAGCACTTTTCGACATTTCTCTAGTATTTTCCGATGCAATTTCGCTTGAAATTCATCCCTCAACACAGTCAGCAGGCTTGCTTCCATCATTGGCAAGAGTTGAAAACGCTTGGTGCCGCAGGATTTGAGTTTCCCGACCGCACGCTCGCTCGCTCACGAGCTCCGAGCGTATTAAATATATTACGGGCGATATTTGTCGCAAAAAGTACAACAGAATATGAACTTGCTACTCGCACTCGCCGCCACTCGCTCTCGCCCCCTAGTCCCCAGTCCCCTCCCTCCTTCCTTCCCTCTCCCCTTCCCCCTCGTCCACGTCAACACGTCAACTCGGACGTCCGACGAAGGGGGTGGGGTGGGGGGACAGGGGAAGTCCGCGTACACGTACGCAGGAGCGGTACTGCGCAAGTACAATTTTGAAACGTTGTCCCCCTTCTTTCCTTCCCTAATATTTTTAAACTATGCACGTGTCGTGTTTTGACAAAACTCACATTTTCATCGTCACCAGGCATTGCTTCTTGCTTCTTCACTGTCGTTGTCGTAGACGTTGACGCAGTGTCGAATTATCGCCAGACGCACTGTCACCTGTCACTGTACACGCACACACACGGAAAACAAACACAGAACAGAACGCGGCTGGATCAGCTGATGGCACGGCGTGGCACTGGCAGGCACGGCACGGCAGCAGGAGGACTGGCGGGCGGTGAAAGGTGGAGTGGGGGTCAGGGCTGGGTCGAGACGAGCTGAGCGCAGAGCGCCGGCGGCGGCCAGGGTCCAGCCGAGCCAAGACGAGCCGAGCCATAACGAGCCTTCTTGGGCTCGTTTAGCTCGGACTCCGTTCGGCAACAGTCACCCGAACGCATTCGGCCGGCTGCGCTGCGGAGGGAGAGGTGGTAGCGGCAGCGCTACCTATCCCTCCCCACACCACCGGCCAACAAACGAGCCTTTGGCGAGGCGTGGGCTCGCCCGATACAGGGCTCTGGTCGCACTCGTAACATTTCGGGACGTCGCTTGGGGCGAGGGCCTTCACCAGAGAGCTGAGTTGGTTGACCAGCTCCTGTAGTAGCCGGGCGTGCGCCATCCTGGAGGATGCAGACTCGCCGGCCGCGACCTGGGACACAATGTTGAGGCGCGGGCGCTGACTTGGCGGCTCCTGCTCCTCGGCGGCCTCGATGGTCAGGGCAGCGGTCAGCGCGTCAGCGCTTTATGCGCAGCTGGCGACGGACGTCGGCGCTCTGGAGCCCACCGACGAATGCCTTCCGCAGCATCCGTTAGGGCCATGCGGGGTAGGCAACCCACGCGAGCCGCAATATCTCGGCGCCGAAGTCTTTGACACACACGCCCCTGCGCTGGGTACGGCGATCCAGCTCGGCGTCCGCCAGTTGGCCGCGCTTCGCCGGGTCATAGTGCTCATCCAGACGGGAGCGCAGGGCCGCGTAGGACAGGTAGCTGCCCCGGGGGAGCGTCTGCACCAGATCGAGAGCGTGGCGAACGACCCTGGCCATGAGTGGGATAAGGCTATCAAGGGACGCCTCTGGAGCACGCCTTGATTTTCCTGCAGGATGATGGTTGAAGCTTGCGCCCACTGACGCAGCACGCCTTGCATCGCCTCCATTGAGGCCTCCACGGCCTTTAAAGGCCGATCGTGGTGGTAGGCGTAATCGGCGCCCTCCCCTCCCCTGCTACGACGATCACGGCGGGGCATTGGGTCGATAAGGAACTTTTGACACCAATTTAAGGAAGACGCAGGGACAAGATGTGGACAGCTAAGGGGTTTATTGACGACTGGGCTCGGTAACAAGGGAAGACGGTTACCCACGACAATCAGGAGTACACAGGGGCGAATGCGCGGGCAACAGTGGCACCAACCGCAAGGATTGGAATTCCCTACAATGTGTTGTGTACCTCAGAGTTGCTTTAAAAATAAAGCAAATGATTCCTTGGCTGATGGTGTCTTTGATGTTTAAATAAACAGAAGCAGACAGACAGACAGACAGACATACTCAAAAACGACGGCATAAGCCCGCTTACATAGCTTTTAAGCAAAAGAGCGGGCTAAAACGGCTTCGTGTCACCGAATTGTAAAGGGAATAATACTTAAACCGGGTCGAACCACACCCTCTTTTGGGCTTAAGGGTCCCTAGATTATCACTAAAACGTTGATTTTTACATAACAATCTTTCAAAATTCGAACTTTTAATGAAAACCGTTACCGAACATCAGAAGTTTCATGACCCTAATTTCAGAGTAATAAGACGCCGACAAATGGTTCGAGTATGTCAAATTTGGGGCCCGGAAGGCCCTGTTCCCGTATACTCTCCCATTAACTCGTCTCGGGTGTCAGCGCCGCAGGCCTAGCTATATGAGAGCCAGGCGCATCGCAGCGTAACAGTGTTTCGTGAGATATCGCGAAGCCTGTTACGCGAGACGTGGTGTGGCGTACATATAGCTAGTATCTTATGTTGTAACTACAGGTGTCTAAGGCACTCCAGTCATCTACAACCTCATACTTCAGCCAATCTTTAAATAAAATTTCTCGTCACATCAAGTTCGTCAAAATTGTACAAGAATAGGAATTGCTTCCAAGTAAGGCGACTGATAAGAAGTAGACGCATGAATATGATTGATTGTTTATTT